AGTAGCATTTATATGAATAGCTCGGGGGATGTAACCGAACGGGGCTCAGGGCAGCAGGGCCTACTGGAAGCTTCTGGGCATAGGCCCAGCGCAGCCACGCAGCAGTCCAGACCAGGCTCTTTCCATAGGAAAGAGCTCGCTGCCTGGCGAGGCATTGGGGCACTTGCCAATTGTGCGACAGCGCTGCTTGAGCCTGCGCTCGAGTGCTGTGCCCTGCACCGGGCGAGGTGGTCACGCACGTGCGGTTGTGTCAGCCAGGGCACTGCTGAGGGCAGCGCCATAGCCCAGCTTCCATAGCTGGCTGGGCTTGGGTGTACAGCAAGGTGTAGTGGTGGTCTTCGTGCATGGGGAAGAAGACGTGGGTGAGAGAACGAGGAAGAGTGAGAGAGAGAGATGAGGATGATGACGTGAGGGCACATACCTGGTCTTGGTGATAGTCTGCATGGGCCGACATCTGCTGCTGACGTCAACAGTTGCATTGTCAATTCGTAGGCTGGAAGTAGCTGTGTGATAGTAGTCTGGGCGCCGAGCGCCACGTAGGGGAAGGACTCTGGATACTTATGTTGGAGATGGGGAGAGTAGGCTCGCATTGACACTCGGATTCAGTGTTTTTGGTTCTCTATTGGTGTCATATCGGTGCATTTCTGCTTTCTGGACAGTGCGGGACTTCCTGGCTTTCCATGTGATTTTGCATCTGGAACCTGTCATTTCATTATTGCTCATTTTCCATGCACCACACCAAAGAAAGAAAAAGGGAAAACAAGAACAGAGCGCACAGAGACGAATTCCAAAAGGCACGATGGGGCGAAGAGAAGGGGTTGCCTGCCTGCAAGGGAAGCAGAGAGCACAAGATATAGAGAGACAGAAAAGGCACCCACGGGCAAAAGAGAAGGCGAGGAATGTCGGCGGGGAGAAGACACGGCTTTCTGCAAAAAGAGGGGGGCATGCAAGCTTAGAGCGTGAGGCAACACAAACTGACACTACGATTCCAAACAGGGTTGGCATGCTAAGAATTACGAAGCTACAATCAACTCAATCGTGCCTCCAAATTCCAGTATCTCATATATAGATATCTATAATGATCATGCCTCATGCCATATGTAACGACATCAGAATAGAAAAGTGATGAAAAAAAAAAAAAAAACGGGTTCAGACCATGTTCATGGGGATGACAGATTCACATGACGCGAGGTAGAGAGCAGCAGACGTTTTACCCTTCTATCAGTGGCCGCACACAGCTGTCGTCCCGAAGCCCACGAGAGTCCCAGCGGCCGTGGAACCGAGCAACCCAGCGAACGGGCAACCGACCAACCGATAGAGTCGGATGACGATCGGTCGTCGTGTGTCCATCGCCCACACGAACAAGCGCTAATCCACTTACCTTTGATCCCGATCCGGGCAACGACAACTTACTAGCAAGGCGCTCAACAAACACGGCGACGAGCGTCATACTTGACCAAATCTGAAACGCACCGTGCCCACAACAGCACCTGGCTCATGATACCAACGTAGTGGACTCACGACATCCATGACGGTCGCAAAACCCTTATTCCTTCCCCGTGCAGCTCGGCGAGGCAGCAATTTCAATTCAATTCACAATTTCATAACACTGAATGATCCTATGGAAAAGAAATTCCCGCGCAAAGTATTTACAAGTACTCACTGCGCCCATTCGCCGTAGTCACCAACAGATCTTCGCACCGGTTGTCCCTCTTCTCATCCATGACCGGTACCTCTTCTTTCTAAAGCTCTCAACCACTCTCTCTCTCTCTCTCTCTCTCTCTCTCTCTCTCTCTCTCTCTCTCAC